CTTGTTATAAAGACAGGACATAAAGCAGAAGCCCAGTAAAGGGGAAAGGCACATGGAATGAAGCCTGGAGGAAGGCCAAAGGTGCAATGCAATGAAGTCAGACCAAGCTGCCCAGAGCCTTCTCCCAGTGGAGTCATTCAGTTCTTCCAGCATCGAATTGTGAGAAATGTGAAGTGTTGTCTCCCAGGGAGGCTCATTGGGAGCATAATGCCCAGGGATTTTTCATGGAAGCTGGTCCTATAGATGCCCTCTGCCTAGTAGGTACCCAAGTTCTAGATTTCCAGAAGGAAAGCAGGCATTTACATAAACCATTTGTGCAACAGTTTAGGCAGCGAGCCATCTTCATCACTGAGGGAATGATGGTAACATTCCCAAAATCCAAGTTTCCAGATGCCAAAGACTGACCTTTTAAGAAGGGCTTTCCAAGGATAGCAGTCCCAGGCCTGCGATGAGAACTCTTTTCTTTACAAGTGAATACTCTGTGACAGACTTATGTGTCTTCAGTCTCTTTTAAATGTTTTTATTAGTGCATTATAGTTATATACACTATTGGAGTTCACTTTGACATAATCATACATGCATAGACTATAATGTGCTTCACTTCAGTCCCCAGTACTTCCTCTTTCCCTTCCCTCCTTCCTCCTCCTGTTTCTCTACTACTTTCCAAGTATACATCTTCCAAAGGAGGAAAATATAGCCGGGCATTGTGGTACACGCCTGTAATCCCAGAGGCTCAGGAGGCTGAGGCAGGAAGATCGCAAGTTCAAAGCCAGCCTCAGCAATGGGGAGGTACTAAGCAACTCAGTGAGACCCTGTCTCTAAATAAAATACAAAATAGGGCTGAAGATGTGCCTCAGTGGTTGGGTGTCCCTGAGTTCAATTCCCAGTACCAAAAAAAACACACACACACACACATACACACACACGAACTTCATTGACAAATCATGTAATATGTCCCTTTTATAATTACTGTACAATTTAGCATTTTAGTAGTCTCTGCTACATCTAAGTTTTAATAAATTTAGATGTCCAACTGAAAAGAATAAAAAAGAAGATATTCATGTCACAGAATGAAAGAATGAATGAACCGCATCTACAGGATTCTTGTCCTAAAAATCTAACCCCCTAGCGATGGCAGCTGCTTATGTGTGGGCTCAACTCAGCAACTTCTAGAAGCTGAAGAGACTATGTCTTGGAAGGAAAGATGTTCTGGATTCTGTGGATTGAAGAAGATGGTCCCTAAGAAATAGATGATCCATCCTTCTGTAATAGCCTAGGATGAAGATTCCAACCTTTCCTCAGACTATCTGTAAACATGGAGTGCAGAGTCCAAAACAGCCAAGAACATTCTAGTGATCCTCAGCTACCAACATTCTACTGATGCTCTGAGCACTCAGGCCTCTTCTGTTCCCTGACAAAGTGACCAAAGCACTGGTCTACACTATGGGCACTGGACAAATGCCCATCCAGGAAGTGCCCCACATTGTGGTGGGCATAGCTAATGCGCCTGCCCTTGCAGGTGCTTAGCACACAGAGATTCCTCAGAGGCCATGGATCCCATGAGCTGGTGCCATCTAAAATCTCTTCACCGTGTTGCTGCTCCAGTGGGTCATCTGGAGGGCTGGAAAAGGCCCTGAACTATGATGGAAAACCCATGTTTCAGTTTTGTGGAGGTTGACAGGAAGGCCAAGTGTGGAGAACCCTCCATATTATTATTATTTTTTTGAGAGAGAGAAAGAATTTTTTTTAATATTTATTTTTTTGTTTTTGGCAGACACAACATCTTTGTTTGTATGTGGTGCTGAGGATCGAACCCGGGCCGTACGCATGCCAGGCGAGCGCGCTACTGCTTGAGCCACATCCCCAGCCCTCCATATTATTTTTCTGGGGATTTCTTTGAGACTGTATATGTAGGAGTCTAGCTCAAAAAGAAAGCAGCCACCACCACTGTCACCATTTATTAAGGACTTCTGAGTGCCAGGCACAGTCCTAGGGGCTGTGCATGCCTTATCTGTTCCCATTGGCAAACTTGCAAAATTCTTATTAGGATATCCATTTTGCAGATGAGGAAATAAAGCCACAAGGAAGACAGGTAACTTGCCCAACATCACATAGTAAGTAGCAGAGCACTTTTAACCGTTTCCTGACACAAAACTCATGTCTTTTGTCCTCTACTATATAACCTGACACTTTGCCATATTGGTGAGGGCTCTCCAGGTTTCCATTGCCTCCTTCTACCAAACAGCCTATAGGGAAGTCTAGGGCAGGAAGGCAAGGACAAGATCCCCTTTCCAACACTTTCATTATACATCTGGAAGGTTCCAGCCTGTTGGGTCCCTGTGCATAAGCAGACAAAGGTAGAGTGTGTTCTTAGCCAGAGAACCTGGATCCCTGGGGCTGGTGGGCTCTGGTGGACTGGTCTCTGTACACGGTGTGTGCATGTGTGCATGCCTGAGTTGGCTCTGCACAGCCTCACTCCCAGGCCTTGTGAATGAACTCAAGGAAGAAGGCCTTGTAGCCTTTGTCTATATCCCGAGGGGCAGCCACAAACAGAGGCTCATGCCAAGGGCCTCTGTTATTTCTAAAAGTTTATTTGTTTTAATGCAAATAATTTATTTGGGACAAGGTGATCCCAGGAAGTACCCATAGGAGAGTGGGAAAACAAGATATAGAAGAGAATGAAGCCAATGTGGTCTTTGTAAATGATCCAGTCACTGCTTTGGGCAGCCAGGGATCAGTCGGAAAATGGTGCAGAATCTGCCTCACAGTTATCCCACCCAAAGGACAAGGGTGCTATGGCGTTTACCCCCCACCCTTCATTGTCATTAGCTGAGTGCAGCCATTGAGGGGCATCAATTACCTAGAATCTGTTGCCAGGCATATTCCAGCAATCAAAGCAAGAAAAGGGCTATTATTATAGATATTTGTGGCCCTGAGTAGCCACTAGTTCCCTAAAGAGTCTTGGAAACCTTCTGGAGTGAAGAAGCCTTGGGTGTCTGTGCTGAGAACAGGCTGGAGAAGAGATGGTGAGGCAGAGTGCTCCTCCAGGCCCTGGAGCAAGTTGTGTTCATGGTGGAAAAGGACCATTTTCGTGTTCTCTGAGGGAAGAAAGGGCATGTGCTACAGCAAGAGGAGTTGAAGTTAGATCTTAAAAAGAAATTTCCGGTGATGCTAATGGAAAAAAAAAAACATATCAAAGATGCCCAGACCTACATCCAACCATGCAGCTTGACTGATAGCCACACGAGAAATGGTGGAGCAAAGAACTCTGCAGTAGCAACAAGGGTTCCCTATTGCCAAGGTCAGCCCATAAGCCATCCTCCACCTGTGAGGGTTCGGGGGGGAGTGTAGGAAGACAGATGGAGATCAGGTAAAGAGAGCATTTTTCATCCCACTCCTGGTTATTCTAGCACATCTCTGTGCACCCCAAGAGGAAGAAGTCCTTCTTCTGAGATGATTTGGAGAAACTTCCATGAAGGCAAAATTTCAGAAGAAATAAGTCCTGAAGTTGCCCATTTCTCTGTGCCAAAGTGCCCCACCTCCTTGGGCCCCCGCTTCTCCTCTGTAAAAGAGGAAGGGTTGCCAGGCTGCATTAGATGACCCTAAGTCCCCTTCCAGTCCTGACCTCTATCCCTGTCTATGTAGAGGCCACTCCCAGGACCCTTAGGTTCTTTTTAATTCACTCATCAACAAGTATTGATTGAGTACTCAGTGTTTGTCCAACACTCACTGGGGAGATGAGAATCAAATAAAATCAGGCCCTGGCTTCTAAGAAGGGATAGAAAGGGGAAAGGTAGTTTATTTATTGAGCATGTACTCTATGCTGAGCACCGTACATATATGGACTCCTATTTCCTCACTACAACCCCACAAGGTAGGCATTAGTACATCCATCACACAGATGAGGAAACCAAGGATCAGAGGCAAAACAGCCTACCCAAAGCCACACAGTTGTTGAGCTTGGATTTGAGCCCCTGCTGGTAAGCATGATGCTGCTCCTCCTCCAAGAAATAGGCAGCAACTCTCTAAGGACAGGTCCTATCTAGTGTTCTTCTAGAAGGCAGGGCAGTGAAAGCCGCAGTCACCTGGGTAGGCTCCTGGAGAAGGTGGTTTGGTTTTGGGTCTTGAGGGAGGGGCTAACTGGAGATTGTTGGGGGAGAAAAGCAACCTGAGTTCACTAGCTCCCCAGAGTATGCTGCAGTGTGGCTGCTTCTGTCAAAGAGCTATCTTCTTAGGTAAGCAGGAGGGCAGCAGCCATGCTCAGCCTGCTAGTGGCTCCTTGAAGAGAAGAGGGGCCAGGAGAGAACAGATGCCTCCCTCAGCCCAGCAGGACAAGATTCCTCTTCCTCAAAGACCCAGCTCCCAAAACCAGAGCCCACCCACTCTAGAGAGGCTTACATCCAAGCCAGGCCTTTCTGTATCTCTCATTGCCCCAAACTCATTTGGGCTAAAGATGACACTGCTTCTGTGCAAATTCACTCCCTCCAGCTTCCTAAGCTAATGGCCCTGGAGCCAAAGCACTGATAAGTAGTTAACACTTATATATAGTAGTGACCATGAGCCAGGCAGTTTTAAGAATTTTAACTAACTTTAGCCATCCAAATTCCCCTTTAGGTACCATTATTCTGCCCATTTTATAGATGGGGAAACAAGAGGTTATGGAAGTTAAGTCACCAATGTTAAATCAGAAACACATAGCTGAGAAGAGGCAGATTCCAGATCTGAAGACAGTCATTCTTAACCTCTCTGCTTCTGGTTTTAAGCAGAGCGTCATGGACTCTGGCCACTGTTGATCCTTTTCTCTATCTGGGATACCCTCCCCAAGTTCAGGTTCACCCCCTTGCCTGGGGTTCTTCCCTGCCATCATAGCCCCTCCCTAGAGGGGACTGCAGAAGACCCCCAGCGGTCCCCCTCCTGGAAAGGCCCAGTTGCCAGAAAAGTCAGGCCACATGCCTGTCCCCCTCTCCCCCAACCGAGCACCCGTTGCCTTTTGTTCACAGCGATGGCTCCTGCGCCCAGGCTGGTGGGGGCATGGAGGACTCCGTGGTGGCAGCGGCGGCGGTGGCAGCCGGCAGACCCAGTGCCCATGCCCCGAAGGCTCAAGCCCAGGAGCTGCAGGAGGAGGAGGAGCGGCCGGGGGCGGGGGGTGCCTCCCAGAGGGCCGGCCCCCACCGCGTGGCCTCCCCCGGCCAGCAGCAGCCTGCCCTGACAGCGCTCTGTTCCCACGCCCCTGCCGCCTCGGATTACGAACTCTCCCTTGACCTAAAGAATAAACAGGTACCCAGGGCCTCCCAGGGGGGCGGGGAGGGTGGTGAAGGGGCCCTGCCTTTGGGGGCTGTCCAGGGTACCAGGGACCTCCCGCTCTGGGCCCACCTGAGGCTCACCCTCTTGCCCTGTTCTTCTGCATTGAGCCACCTAATCTGCCCTTCCCTGGAGTCAGTTCCTCAGGGAATGAACCACAGGCCACTGCCCAACTCCCATCCGGGTCCTTTACACCACAGGGCTGTCCTTAGGCAGTCTATGCAGGGACTCTGTCCCCTCCATAATGTGCAGGAAGCCTAAACTGTCCCACAGGCCCATAGTCAAGGAACCAACTGTTCACTGAAAAAGTCCTCCCCTCCACTCTACTTACAAGACAGAGCCCAGCTTCCATGTCCACCCAGGGCAAGCCCAATGCCCAGGCACACAGGTGCAGATGAGGTGTGAGCCAGTGTCCTGTTCTAGGTAGACAGAGGATTCCCAAGGTTAACCCAGTTCAGGGAGTCCAGAGATCCCCTGTTGGAGAACAAATCCCATCGAGGAGTTCTTGGCCTTCATCTGCTGTTCTGCAAAGCAGGAGGGAAAAGTGGTCAGACATGGGGTCCCACTGAACCTAAAACAAAGATGATGCCGTTGTGTGCTTTAGTGGACAATTAAGGGACCGGAAGGAAGGTCTTAAAATTCAGCCCTCAGAACAAAGCACAGGGTGTGTGTGTATGTGTGTGTGTGTGTGTGTGTGTGTGTGTGCTTGCGCGCGCGTGCGCACATGCTTAGAGAAAGACATGATTATGTGATGTTCTTAAGAAATAGCTTTGAACTTGGAGACAGAAATGCGATTCAATCCTTGTTGTTCCTCTGCTAACCTGTGATTTTGGGGATGATAGTTAAGCACTCTGGGACTGGTTTCCTCATCAGCAAAATTGGGAACTAGACTTTGAATCACCTCTAAGATCCCCACTGGCTCTGGAATGTGTAGGATCTAAAGAATCATTCTTTAATCCAGTGGACAAGGTGAATCTTAGGAAAGGAAGCAAGTAGTAAAGTTATAGGACTGGGTCAAGCCAAATTAACCTCTTTTCTTTCTTTTGGCATCGATTCAGGCCATTATCTTGGATTAGGGGCCAGCTGTATCAGTGCATCTGGCTTTCAGTGAAGTGTTTTAACAGAATCTCCCATGATATTTATGTGAACCAGAAAGGACTAGATGGATTAAGTGACAATGTAATCATATGTGTTGTTCTCAACCAGAACTAACTATCTCTCTCTCTCTCTCTCTCTCTCTCTCTCTCTCTCTCTCTCTCTCTCTCACACACACACACACACACACACACACACACACTGGTTTTCTATCAGTGCCAATTCCAGTGGAGCTAAGTGAGTGCTGTCCTTGGTCCTGTCCAAGTCAATCATTTTGACAAAGAACTGAACAAAGGCATGAAAGTTACATTTCCCAAACTTTCCAAACTTTCTAATGGCATAAAGCTGAAGGAGAACAGCTAGCATCTTGATCATAGAATCTAAGATTTTTTTAAAAAATATCTTATCAGAAGGATATTTAAATGAAAAAATTCAAATTAAATAGGAAGAAATCTAAAGTTTTGCTTGTAACTTAGAAAAGGCTGTAGCACTAGTAAATAGGTGGGCAGGCCAGGTTCTGGGAGAAAGGCTTTAGGGTTTCAGTCTACTGTGAGCTCAGGGTGCACCAGAAGTAAGTGGAGCAGCTGCCAACACAGCGCACACACCTTCAGCATCCTTCACAGGAGGGCAAATAAGGCCCCAGGGTTACTGGCCAGGGCCTTGTCTGCACCCTGTGCTTTGTTCTGAGGGCTGAATTTAAAGGTGAAATGAGAATCCTGAGTTTCCTGAAGAAGGAGAGCAGAATGAGTTGGGATCAAATGAAGACATTCTAAAGAGAAAAGAAAACAAGTTTTAAATACGGAAGTACTGGCGTGTGAAAAAGTGACTAGATGTGTTTTTCATCATTCCATTCATCGTGGTACTGTGATAGCTTTAGGAAGGGAAGGTCTTAACTTATTTAGCAATTAAACTATAGAATACCCAGTAATGATTTTTTTATTATTATTAGATGATCCATCAGGAACATGACAGTGTGACCTGGGAGTCACTTGGCCCAGATGAGAGTCCATGCAGTTCCACACCACTGTCTGGTCTCCTTGAGGACACAAACTACCTTGCATTCATTTTTGTACCCTTCCCTTTGCATCTAGCAGAGCATCTTAGACATAATAACATCTCATTCAGTGAGTCTTGTTTTTAAATAACCATGCTATACAAAGCAAGAAGTGGACAGGGTACCAAGAAAGAAAAAAACATGCTCTTACCTGCTCCTTGCAAAGATATTGCTGTTCCACTTAAGGGGTATCCAGCTCATAATCCCAAAGAATACTTGTGCTTTGGCTTGGGCAGGAGACTCATTGAATTTTGACTGACTGAGTGGCTATAGAGAATTGCGAAGAATTCTGATTAGTATTATAGACTTTTTGATAATAGGTATAATTCTAACTGATGGTTTTGCATGTCAAGCTGGTAGGATGAGGTCAGGAAAGGTGAGGACTGGCAGAGGATATAACACAGGACCTCTTGCCAAGTGAGTCCAGCCTTGAGGAACAGCTCATGTCCCCTGGCTTGTCTATCTTTCTAGACCATGCATAGTCCGAGGGCAAGGGAAAAGGGCCAAAAGGGTATCAAAGGCAAGGGCAAGGTGATTGAGAACAGCACATATTTACAAGAGACTGGTCTCTACTTTTCTCTCTTTCTTTCTCTCTCTCCCTTTCTGCCAATGAGCTGCGTGACGTTGGGCAAGCAGCTTAACTTCTCTGGATCTTAGCAACCTCATATATCTCCTTGGGGCTTTTCATGCTGTTCCCTTTACTTCCATCTCTGAAGTTCCTGCTCCCGTCAACACTCCCGCATTTGTCCTCCTTGCCTTAGGAATCACCTAGGTACTTCTTCCTCCTCTCTGGCAGCCTCCCAACCCTCCCAAGGCTGCCCAGGATACCCATTACATGCAGGTGCTCTCTGTCACTGCTCTGCAGCTTTGGATTTTTATTTCCTGCTGACTTGACTTCTCCTTGAAGTCAGGGCAAGGGGCTTATTCATTATTATTCCCCAGGTCCTAGAACAGTGCCTGGCATGAAGAAGATGCTCAAGAGGGAGGAAAAACCTAGTGACATAAGGAGAGATGGGGAGGGGTTCTTGTCTGTGCCCCTGGGAAAACTCCCACTGGTTCCCCTGCTTCAGCGGTGCCTCTTCCAACCTCGTCTCCAGATTGTAGCTGAATCTAACCATGCTGTGCCCTGGTGTGAAAGCCCTCGGTGGCTTCCCGTTGTGTGCAGTACAAAGGTTTCTGCAGACTCCCCCGTCACAGACCCAACCCCACATCAGAGTCCCAGCCATTCCTATGGCCGTTCCCTGAACCGTCCAGCTGTGCTTTGCCTCTGGGCCTTCCCCATACCTTGGTGGATGTTACTTCCTCTGCTGAGAATGTTCCTTGCCTATCCACAGTCCTGCTTCACCTGGGTGGTCTCCACACATACTTAGGCTCAAGGTGAATCGACTGAATGCCCATAATTTACTCTACTATCTGATATTTGTCCCACTCATGAGGACAAGGACCATGTTGTCCTCAAGTCACTGGGTGGAGCAGCTTGTGCACTGAACACCTCCAGGGGCGCCATTCACTTCATAGTCCACTGGAAGAGCAGGTGGCTCCCGAGTTGTGCACGCGAAGCTGCCCTTATCTTTCCCACCACTGTTCTCCAACACCCAGCACAGTCCCTGGAGCTTCGGAAATGCTCATATGGAGAATGCATGAATGAATGAATAAGCAAACAAACGAATGAATGAATGAATGAGGCCCAGCCTTGAGTTTCTCTGTTCCTGAATGTCCTTTCCCAAAGCCCTTCCCTGTTTTAGTCAACTATTTTGCCACTGTGACTAAAAGGCCCAACCAGAACAATTGTAGAGAAGGAAAAGTTTACTTAGGGGCTCATGGTTTCAGAGGTCTCAATCCACAGACAGCAGACTCCATTTCTTGGGGTTCAAGGTGAGGCTTAATGTCATGGTGGAAGAGAGTGATGGAGGGAAGCAGCTCACATGATGATCAGAAAGCAGAGAGAGACTCCACTTGCCACATACAAATATACACCCCAATGACCATGCCCCAATGACCTACCTCCTCTAGCCACACTCCATCTGCCCCCAGTTACCACTCAGTTAATCCCATCAGGTATTAATCACTGATTAGTTTAAGGATCTAACCCAAACATTTCTCCTCCAAACCTTTTTATATTGTCTCACACGTGAGCTTTTTGGGGGGGCACCACATCTAAATCATAACAAGGAGATTCTCTTACCCTGCCCCATTGTCCTCTGCTCCTTCTATCCAGGACACTCTTGCTCCCTCTCACAGAGATCTTTGAGGTTAATCCTAGGGGGACAGAGGACCCCTTCAGAAAAGTGGCTGTGGCAAGGATGTAGAGGGCCCCGGTGTGATTTCCAAATTCATTCAAGCCCTTGAGGGAGTTTGAATACTGGTCTGCGCCATTGTTGATCCACAGTCCATCCTGGCCATGTACGTTGCAAAGCTGTCACAGTGAGGCTGTGGACCTACGGTCAGTAGCATCCAGGTTTTGTTCTCCAAGTCTGGGCCCCAGACAGAATCCACATTCTCCCAGATAGTAGTCTCCCTCCCAAGAGATCTCACACCTCAAGCCACAGGGCCCAGTCTCACCATGGGGCACCTCTCCAAGGGGGAGTGATTGGCTACATTTCTAAGTCACTTCCCCTCTCTGAGCCTCATCCATGCAGGAGCCAAGAATGTCTCTAGGCTCCTTCCAACTCCAAAGGAGGGCCCTGGAGCATGAGCCTGCAGAGCATGGTGGTGAAGGCAAGGCATATCAGGGCTTGTACCCCCATTCAGTTTTAAAGAATAGCATTGATAGTGGCCCTGTGCTTGGTCTGGGTTCACCATGATGTGAAAAACACAGTCCCAGTCC